TTATTATTATCATCACCATCATCATTATTATTATTTATAATATCATTGTTATTACTATTACTATTATTATTACTATTATTATTGTTATCGTTATTATGATAAATAAAATCACATTGATAATGATAATTAATTACAGTAAGAGTTGCGATGAAAATTATGGATAAATCTATGATGAATAAAAAAGCTCAAAACTTATTAGCAAATGAGATAAAAACAATGGAGCAACTTCATCATCCAAATATTATCCGTCTTTATGAAGTAAATTTCAAAAATTTTCTAGAGAAAAAAAAAAGAACAGAGAAAAGCTTAAGTTATCACATACGGTGAGATGATTTTTAGTTTTCCGATCAGTTGATAATTTGATCAAAGATCTATCCAATTTATTCGATATAATAATCAGGCTGATTTTTGTTCTATGTCAAATCATTTTGATCAAATTATGAAATCGAACCATTTTCATTTTTTTTGATCATTTTGTTTTGTAAATATTTAATTCACCTCATAATGATAGTATTACTAAATTTAGCTGTTAACCTTTTTAATATCAAATTATCAATCATATTGCATTTGATAACGATAAATTGAATGATTATTATGATTTAATTTAATTTAGTTTTAACAAAATTTTAATTTTAGACTGTTGAAACAACCACACGAGTATATCTCATAATGGAATATGCTTGTGGTGGTGACCTCTGTTCTCATATTCATCATCGAGGAAAACTTTCAGAGAATGATTGTAAACCAATGTTTGCGCAAATTATTTCCGCCATTTCATATATGGTTCATTTCATGTTGATAAAATTAAAATTTATTATTGAAAAAAGAGAAGTTTTTGTGAATTGAAAAATTATCAAAATAATTTAATGAAAAATTTGTTGAACTGATGCTTTTTCATTGAGTAATTACCGTAGTTTTTTCTTTTTTTTTTTTTTAAAAACTAGTATTAATGATATAATTTATCAGTGAAAAAAGAAAATTATTAATTAAAAATTAACATCTATTAAATAGGAAAAAGAAAAAAAATGGTAAAATTTTATTTTTAGCATTCCAAAAATATTATACATCGTGATATAAAAGCTGAAAATGTGATGTTATCAGAAGATGGTTTGATAAAATTAGCTGATTTTGGTTTTGCATGTCAAGTGAATGCAAATGATATGCTAACAACATTTTGTGGTTCACCAGCATATGCTGCACCTGAATTGTTCAAATCTGATAAATATTATGGTTTGTTTATTTTTAGTAAGAAAAAAAAAGTTTTTATTTTATCTTACTATAAAAAATTAAAATAAAAATCAATCAATATTTTGTATGATTACAAATAGTTCACATAAATTATACAATAATTTTGTGATTTTTATTATTCTTTTTTTTTTTGTTTCTTTAAAAAACAAAGTGATATTTTAGCAGAAAAAAAAATATTTCATACATTACTATTCATTTATGCTAAAGTTTCAAATTTTAGGCAATTTATATTTGAATTTAAATTAATGAAAGAAAAAAAAAGGTACATAATTAAGCTATTCGACTTAAGTTATTTCAAATATCTAAAAACAACCGATCTTATTAACTGATAAAAGAAAAAATAAAACTATTGATGTTAAATAGAAGTGATATAATCAAGATTGGTATATTAGAAATAATTGTTTAATTATTTTATACAACTTTTATAAAATAGTTGGAGTTAGTTTAGAAATAATTAATTGATAATTTAAACTTTTAATTAATTTAATAGAATAATAATCGAATTAAGAATATAACTTGCCAGGATACTATAACTTCTCCCAGTATGATACAGTTATGATTATTTTACATTTAACATTTTATCAAAATATATAT